TGGAAGTACACTAACGATAACATGCGATGGAGGATTTGAGCACCAAAACCAGATCAACACCACTACCTGTGGAAATGGAAAATGGTCCTCTGCACCAGTCTGTGAGAGTAAGTCTGCCACATGTTTGACTCCAGTTAGCTGTTCAACACTTTTTTTTCTGCTTCTATTCATGACTTTTTATTTTTACAGGAAGTATGAGTGCATGCAGTGCACCTCCTAAAATCCCCCATGCAGTCATCATTCATGGATACCAGGAAGTGTTTGCAGCAGGTTCAGAAGTGCAGTATGAGTGTGAAGACGGATACACTGCACACACCGAGAAATCTGTTTGTATACAGGGAAACTGGACACCAGTGCCAACATGCAGTAAGTGGTCATGAGTTAAAATTCTTGACTCACTATAACATAATATTATAATAATATAGTAGCCACGTAGTACAGATCAATGGTGTGACTTGATCTTCACGGAAGAGCATTTAGGCACCATTATTGACAAGTTTGTACCAATAACTCCTCTCAACCTGCAGACAGAGGAAGTATTAAACCATTTATTTATTCTCTTTATAAAATATAGATATACCTTGTAGCAATGTTTTGAAAACACTCATTCACACATCTTTCTTTATTTTGACTGACAAACAAGACTTGCAAATCATTAGTTATAGAACAACACCAGTTAGTAAGCCACAAAAGAAATACAAATGAAAATTGGGGGTGGACTCAAACCATGCAGTAGCCTGGGAGAGAAACAGAATAGGAATGTCCTTAAAGCAAGCACATGTGTATAGTGTTGTGGAGGTGAAGAGAGTGTCAGACAGGGTCCATCCATCCATGCATCCATCCATCTTCTTCCGGGGCCGGGTCGCGGGGGCAGCAGCCCAAGCAGAGAAGCCCAGACCTCCCTCTCCCCAGCCACCTCCTCTAGATTGTCCGAGGGAATACCAAGGCGTTCCCAGGCCAGCCGACAGATATAATCTCTCCAGCGTGTCCTGGGTCTGCCCCGGGGCCGCCTCCTGCTGGGACATGCCTGGAACACCTCACCCAGGAGACGCCCATGAGGCATCCTTGTCAGATGCCCGAACAACCTCAACTGGCTCTTTTCGATGTGGAGGAGCAGCTGCTCTATTCAGAGCCCCTCACGGATGGCTGAACCTCTCACCCTATCTCTAAGGGAGAGGCCAGCCACCCTTCAGAGGAAGTTCATTTCCGCCGCTTGTATTCGCGATCTCGTTCTACTACCCACAGCTCGTGGCCATAGGTGAGAGTAGGGACGTAGATCGACCGATAAATTGAGAGCTTCGCTTTTAC